AAAGCCGGAAGTGGCACTGTGGCTCAAGTGGTAGAGCGCTAGCCTTGAGCTGAAGAGCTGAGGGACAGCGCCCAGGCCCAGAGTTCAGGTCCCACGACCGGACCCAAAAAAAAAAAAATAAGGCAATCTAAGAGTACAGTGTGTTTCTGGATCTTCTTCCAACTGCAATTTAAGGGGAGAGGGCAGCAGATTGAGGGGAAAGGCCTCAGACTGTGGACTACCACCAGGTCCAGCTTGTGGAACTGGTTGGCTCTTCTCACTTTCCTCTTGCTTTTCTATCCCTAAAGGCAAAAATCAGGGCCAGTGTTGCTGGGCTAGTGGTCTTAAACAACTGGGGTTGGCGATGCTCCCAGTCATTTTGTGGAAGTGCTTTCAGGAGGAGGTGGAGGGAGCCGGCAATCTGTAGCACCCAGCAGGCAAGCCAGGGCCCCAGAAGCTGACAGACCCTGGCCGAGGGCAGGGTGGCTCCAATGTTAATGGACTCTCTCCTAGAAATGGGTGGGAATCCCCTGGAGAACAGTGGTTTTGAACCTGGAGCCTTTGATGGTCTGAAGCTCAACTACCTGCGCATCTCCGAGGCCAAGCTCACTGGCATCCCCAAAGGTAGGTGGCCCTGCTTTCCTGCCCTGCCTCACCCCCAGGCAACACAGTGAGGGGACCTGCCCCATTTATTTGAGGCAAGGCTCAGCAGGGCTCCCCCTCACCTGGGGCAGAGAGGGGGCCCCTGCTCCCCTCCCTGTCCTCAGTCCCTACATTCACCTCTGACTACTCTCTTCTGGGCAGATCTCCCAGAGACCCTGAATGAACTCCATCTGGACCACAACAAAATTCAGGCTATTGAGCTAGAAGATCTGCTCCGCTACTCCAAGTTGTACAGGTGGGAACAGCCCAGGGGAGCTCTGGGTCTCCATCAGCCAGAGGGGCAAGGCCTAGGGTGAGGGAGGGGTCCTCCCAGTACCCATCCCACAGTCCTCTCCTCCAGCCCCTGAGTATCTCTTATTCACCCACCTGCAGACTGGGCTTGGGCCACAACCAGATCCGGATGATAGAGAATGGGAGCCTAAGTTTCCTGCCCACCCTGAGGGAGCTGCACCTAGACAATAACAAGCTATCCAGGGTGCCTGCTGGGCTCCCAGACCTCAAACTCCTCCAGGTGAGTGGAGACAGAGAGCAGGACAGAGCCCAGCATGCAGCTGGCCAGTCACTTCTGATCTCTGAGCCTCATCTCATGTTGGAAGGAGCAGTGTGCACTCTTTCCCTTCGTGCCAGTGCTCTCTGTTTACAAAGACATGTCACTCTCCATCTACGGTATTCTCACAGGGGCCTCCATTCCTGCCTTGGCTTCTAGATGTGTGGGTGAATTTGGTCTTGCCCAATCTTGTTCTGAGCCTAAATCTCTTCCTTGGTCCCATTCTCAATAGTAAGAACACTGCAATCCTCACCAGACACCCATCCATGCTGGCCAATGCAGCTGCTACAGCAGCAAGGCCCATGCCAGGTTGAGGACGCCCTCTAGTGGCCAGAGACCTCTTGTTGCCAGTGAACGAATCCAAGACTCCTTGGCTCCACCAAGAGAGCTGCTTCAGGAAGTAGGGTGAGGGGCTGCTAGAAGATGAGTGCCGCTGAGGACTGGGTGAAAAATGAGAACACCTTGAATGAAGCCCTTTCTCCTCTCCTGATCCATGGGTTTCCATAACAAGAGAGAGCCTGCTCCTCTGGGAGCAGGCCTGGAGCTCGGGAATGCAGAAGAGGGACCAGGCACCCTGTGGGAGCCAAGGCACGTTCTTCCTCCATAGATGTCAGGTCAGGATCAATGACTGATTCCTATAACCTCACTCCACCAAACATAATCCCCATTCTATCGGCAGAATGGCCTTCACTCACCACATACCATACCTGGCGCACAAATTATGGCCAACACCTATCAACATACCAGCACCCCAGTTTCCCTCCTCCCCAAAGCATGAGGAGAATCGTGACCCTCAAAGGGTGGTGCCACTATACTGAACTAAATGATGGATGGCCAGGAAGCAGCAGTGGGTCCTAGCATGGAGGCAAGCCCCAGTGCCTCCTGCGTCTGCCCTCCATTTTGCCTGCAACCCACAATACCAACCCAGGTTGGAACAAACTGGGAAGGTGGTTGGGGACAACTGGGCCCTGAGAGCAAGCCTTGACTCAATCTCTCTGTCCCCAGGTGGTCTATCTGCACTCCAACAATATCACCAAGGTGGGCGTCAATGACTTCTGCCCTGTAGGCTTTGGAGTCAAGCGGGCCTACTACAACGGCATCAGCCTCTTCAACAACCCCGTGCCCTACTGGGAGGTGCAGCCAGCCACCTTCCGCTGTGTCACTGACCGTCTAGCCATCCAGTTTGGCAACTATAAGAAGTAGAGGCAGTGGTGGCCACTATGGTGGCCCCAATGGGAGGAGGGGTCTCTAAGGAACACAGATGTCACAGAGAGAAAGGCAAAGCAAGGAAAAAAAGCCCCCTCCTTTGGTTCCTGACCCCAACTAGCTGCCCCACCACAGCCTCTTCTTGGCTCCCAAGCATGCAGGTGGACACAAGACCTGGCCTCCATCACCTGCTCCCCTCAGCTTCAGAGATGCATCACCCACCCACTGGGGTCACTCAGAGAGGGACCCCATGAAGCTTTCTTCCTGTTCATCCTCAGACATCCTCAGCCTTAGGGAAAGATGGTCCATGGGTCTGCAGGGCAGAAGGAGTTAGTGGGGTTGGAGACAGTAGACTCCACCATGGCCATCTTCACCCGGACACATGGTCCTTCTGTCATTCTCCTGGGCCTTCCTTGCTGCCCTTGGCTGCTTTGACTTCAAGTTCACCATCTGTCCATCCCAGCCATCTTGCTCTACCAGCCCCTGGACTGGCCTCTCTCTCTCTCTCTCTCTCTCTCTCTCTCTCTCTCTCTCTCTCT